AAATGTCTTGTTCTCTTGTGTTGTTTTGCGTGCCGTCGTGATTTTGATGTCGGGGTTGCACAGCTTTGCTTTCGGCTCTGAGGTTCAAACACCTAATTTATTTAAACCCATCATGGACACGACCGCAATGGCAAAGGTCGTGTCGCTCAAGCGACGCAACTTGTCCCGACCCCGCATGGTCAAGACAGTGCTGACGCCCCACTCGCGTGAGGCCAGATATGCCTGCTGCAGGTCCAGCGCACACTTGGCCATCAGGTCGTCCAGTGCCGCCTTGGAGCGGAGGGCAATGATCTCAGCTGGTCGCTGGGTCGCCGCGTCCTTGACCGTGGCCATCTGGAAGCCAGCTCGCTGCACGTGGACCTCAAAGTCGGCAGCCCTCGATGCATCCTCCAAGAGCCGATCGTAGACCCGAGGGTAGCGAGTGGCCAGCTTGGCCATGTTGCAGACATAAGCCACCGGACCGCGCTCAACCAAGTCGTGCAGGCCAAAGCCCCCGGTGTTGGCCCGTGTGAAGATGCGAGCCTCAAGGAGCTGTTCCAGCGTAACGTCATGACCTTCAGCTCCAGCTGGTGCAGACAGGTTCACCTTGGCAAAAAAGGCTTTGACAAAGGTAAATAAATTAGGTGTTTGAACCTCAGAGCTGGAAGCAAAGCTGTGCAACCCCGACATCAAAATCACGACGGCACGCAAAACAACACAAGAGCACAAGGCACATTCATTGGCTTCTATCATGCCAAGAGGTACAAGCTCAAAGAATCACACACATAGAAACAAAAATCGTACAAAACGACCAAGTATAACCAGAGATACGGCCATTTCAAACACAAGACACCCAAAAGGGCAGTCACACATCACAAGTATAAGCCATCACAGCACAAACACAATGAACACCACGGCACGCTCACATCCAACAAAGGTGTCCTTGCAAGCACGGTTCAAGAGCTCGGACAAGCCCGACGTGAGACTTGGGGGCAGCGTGTAGAGGTGGTTGATGAGGCTAGGCACGTACTGCATGGCCGTGAGGAGGGCCTGAAGCGAGACACCGGTCGTCAGCATGTCATTGAGCTTGCCAGCAATGTGCTTTGCCTTGTCGTTCAGCTGCTTCTTCATCCCAAGACCGTCATGCCCGTGTTGGCCGTCTCGCGCATGGCATCTGGCAATACAGACTTGATAGCAGTGATGGAAGCGGGATGGTGGCGAGGCATGTAGAGGCGGCTCTTACTGGGCTGCAGATGAAGGCCAGCAGACTCTGCACGAGCCTTGACAATCTCCACGTCGGCCGCCACGTCCTCCGCGGGACCCATCAGTACAATGTCGTCGAGGTATTTGATGATCTTGCAGCGGTAGTCAGTGCTGGCGTCGAGGAGACCCAGGACCTCACAGGAGTACAGGGCAAAGAAGAAGGGCGATAGCTCGTTGCCCTGCACAATGCCTTGGCCAACATCAATGTCAATCACCTTGAAGAACTTGTCGACAATGCAGTGGGTAGTGGGTCGAGCATAGTGTCGTTCAAAGGCGCGCAAGAGGCCAGGGACCTTGTCGGCCACAATCTCGTGCAGCCGTGCTCGGTCGGTGTAGTTGAAGGCACTCTTGAAATCGAGGGAGAGCATAGTCCAGCCCGGGGTAGACTCACAGGCTTGAAGCTCACCAAAGGCCATGCCAACCGCTGCTGAAATGCCGTCCTTGACTCCGACAGCCAGCTCTGGACTGGCCTGTAGCAAGTGGGCAATATGGGGCTGCTGTTGCTCGAGCAGAGCGCGGTTGACAACCTTGTTGAAGATGGAATCCGTGCCCACGGGTCGAAACTTGCCATTGGCCTTCTCCAGGATAGTGTAGTTGATGGAGCAAAGGGCATGTCGAATCGACTCGGGCACGGTGTTGTTGGCAATGTGGTGAAAGATCTTGTTTAAGGCAACCTGAGGACCTCCAGTGGCGGTGGTGGGGCCCTGAGGCGCGTCTCCATCAGAAGGAGCAGTCGGGTCGCTGGTAGGATCCTGGCGTGGGCCCAAGACTTGACTGAAGTGCTCCTTGATGCGGTAGATGGAGGCAAGAAGCTCACCAGACCAACCATAGGGGTCGGTGACACCCTTGGTGGCCGCCAACGCCTTGGGGAGCTCACCCTTGGTGAAGGACACGGTTGGGGAGTTCACAGCCGTGGCTGGTGCCAGTGTAGACGTGGAGGCGGGTGTTGAAGCAATGTACGGGGTCAGCCCGGGCGGTACCAAGAGGTCGCGCACGGCCTGAACCTCAGAATTACCAATCACGGCACGAGCCTTGTCGGCATCAAATGCTTTGGCAATCTGACCTCGGTTCAGACGGTTCGTGACGTGGTTTGCCCAGGCTTCGTCCGCCAGGTCCGGGTCGCGGACGAGCGACCAACACACACACACACACACACACACACACACACACACACACACACACACACACACACACACACACACACACACACACATGGTTATACCTGGTCGTTTTGTACGATTTTTGTTTCTATGTGCGTAATTCTTCGCGCTTGTACTCCTCGGCATGATAGGAGCCGATGAAAATGTCTTGTTCTCTTGTGTTGTTTTGCGTGCCGTCGTGATTTTGATGTCGGGGTTGCACAGCTTTGCTTTCGGCTCTGAGGTTCAAACACCTAATTTATTATTACACACACACACAGTGGAGACAGAGAATGGACTATCACACTGAAGACAGGTGGAAGCGATATCAGCAATCTGTTGGGACCAACAGATGCCACAACAAGATGATACACCAAGATGGTACAGCAAGATGTTACACAACAAGGTGGGACAACATCAAGTACCAGAGGACACACAACGTGGTAAAGTATAATAATAAATAAAGTATACCGTCTCAGATTGTGCCTCTAATACTCCCCTTCAAGCTGAGAACGGAAGAGCATGTCACACAAACGACGATGGCTCGGTCCATTGAGCAGCTTGGTGAGAAGGTCAGCAACCATGTCCTTGGTCCCGCAGAACCGGACATCGAGCTGGTATGATGAATTAGGTGTTTGAACCTCAGAGCTGAAAGCAAAGCTGTGCAACCCCGACATCAAAATCACTACGTCACGCAAAACAACACAAGAGAACAAGTTACATCCCTCCTACTAACTAGTCTCAAACAGAATCACAAGGTTATGCCCAAGTCAAAGCAAATCGTGACAAATGGTAACAAAGTCGTGGCATGATATCAAAAAGTCATGAGCAACTGCAAAACAATCACAACTGTTCCTTTCGAAATCGTAAGCAACACTCAATTTTTTTCGGTGATGAAATCGCGAGGATCATTCAATTTGAGCTGCGCAAAGCAGCTGATGCTGCTCGGCGAGCTCGAGCCTGAGCTTTGTCACGTTGTAGTAGCAACCGCTTATTTTCACATGTAGATTTAAAGTCATTCACGTTAGCATCGTCTTCTTGGCTGGCGGCAACGGCTCGAGCAGTCTGGCGGCGAGTTCGGGAGTTGTCGACAGCCATGTCCATGATTGGCGCGAGCTCGAAGGATTCACGCCTGTGTCTCAAGATTCCGCCAGTTGCAGCCCTGATCTGGTCATAGTCTTGTTTGTCACGAATGCGTAGCTGGTCGCGGCGAGCTCGAGCCTCATCTTCATTTACGGCGCCATCCTGCCAGGCTTTCATGTACCTGTGTGTGTCACGGATTGCTCCTTTCAACATATCTTTTCTCAGGTAGGATCCAAAAACAACGTTGAGAATCTTCTCGAGCCTCTCTGAGAGGCGCGTGTAGCCAAAGCTTGATGAACGCGCGCGAATGCCTTCTGCAGCATATTTGACGGAACCAAAAACGGTCTCAATGGGAGCGAAGTCGGGCTGGTATTTTGGCGTTGGGACAACAAGAACCGGACCACCGTACAGCTCACGATCCAACTCATAGTAAATGAGCGGTGAGTAGCGCTCATCAGTTTCTGGAATTGTGCTTGAGGCGCGCACAAACACCTTTTTCGTATGTTCAACACCATGAGAGCCGGACATGAGACTGAGAGCTTTATAATGATGTGGCACATTGTCCCAGGTCACGACCAGAAGACCTGAGCCATACTTTTTTCGCCAGGCAGAGATTGTGCCCTCCAAATAGCGCTGTGAACTCTCGCCTGTACTATTGCCAATGTTGGTACGCAAGAAAACGATCTCTCCGGAGTAGGCCAATGCTGCAAAGAAAGAGATCGACGAACGAGGCGCTGGTGCCACACTCCTTGCTTGTCCTTGAACGACCCAGCCTTTGTGTCGCGTTGCTTGGGTAGTCATCCAGCTTTCGTCCGCAGAGAGAAGAGCATGCTTGTTCGACGAAAAGAGGAGGTGCTCCTCGTCCAGGGCTTCCAGGAATGTAATGTAATTGAGGCAAGCCTCCTGGGTCTGTGGGCCGAAAGAATCATGTCGACGAGGACGTAGACTAACGTACTCGCTGTCAATTCCAGAATCCCGGTTTTGCTTCTTCAGATGATTGCAAATGGTGGCAAGGGAAACATGCCAAGGCTCGATCGAATCGCTGAGCTCGAGGGGCTTGTAGCGCTTTGCGTAAAGATACTCACGAGCGTCCGCTGTCGAACCTCGCTTGCCGTATCGCATGACATACTCAGCCAAAATCTCTTCATCCTGAGCATCCAAAACAGAAGGGCGGCCAGATCGTGGTTGTTGAGGTTTGAGATGTGGTTCTTCTGAAGACAGCTCGCCTGCGGCGCGCATATTCAGGCGCTTCATATATTCGCGGCGCCATCTTGAGATCGTTGAGACTGATATCTGTTTTCCAATTCTCCGCTCGAGCACAGCGGCAATCTTGCTATCAGAAAACGATTCCTGATGCTCATCGACCTCATCCAGTGCTACCAAGAAAGCCCGGCGGTCGCTGTCCGAATAGCGGCCAACGCGCCTTCCCACTCGGTTTTTTCCACAGTCGTTTGGGCCCCGGGTGCGTGCAGCTTCCGAGGCAGCTTGGGGGGGCGATACTGACTCCGAATCACTGGCAGGGGCGTTATCAGCAAAGCCCCATGGTGCACCACTGCCAGGGACATCATCACCCAACGATTCTGGCAAGCTCAGCAGGTGATCAGGTGGAGCATGCTGAACTGGCGTCTTGAACTGCCGCCGTGCACGTCGCCTTGACATCTCAACTTTCAACGGAAAAACATTGAGTGTTGCTTACGATTTCGAAAGGAACAGTTGTGATTGTTTTGCAGTTGCTCATGACTTTTTGATATCATGCCACGACTTTGTTACCATTTGTCACGATTTGCTTTGACTTGGGCATAACCTTGTGATTCTGTTTGAGACTAGTTAGTAGGAGGGATTCACTGGCTTTTATCATGCCAAGAAGTACAAGCGCGAAGAATCACGCACATAGAAACAAAAATCGTACAAAACGACCAAGTATAACCAGAGATACGGCCATTTTAAACACAAGACACATAAAAAGGCAGTCACACATCACAACTACAAGCCATCACAGCACAAACACAATGAACACCACGGCACGCTCACATCCAACGAGACACAACGTCGGATTGAGAAAACAACCGACCACAGAAGACAAAGGCATCATACAAAGGACTTTACAAAAATTCAGCAAAAATTAAAGCAAAATTAAAACAAAAATACAAGTCAAGCCATCAAAAGACACAACGAGAACCACCTAGGGAGCGACTGGTGCACAAAGGGATCCCCACAGAGGGACCCCCGAGACGGTGCCTACCTACGACGAGCGCAGGCAGACACCGCCAAAGTGGCGCTGGATGTGGTCAGCGTTCATCTGATGGACCAGCGCCGCAAAGCGACCCTTCCACCGAGGAACAAAGGCCTCATCCAGCCCCGGCTGGTACACACCACGGGCCTCGGCGCAGCGGGCAAGCTGACCAAGCAGATCCACAAAGGAGGAGGCGAACCCACCAGTTGTCGTCATCGCCGCAGGGACGATCAGAGTTTTTCCATGATTGAAACCGGTGTAGTAGTCGCGCTTCTCCTTTTCGGCTCGGCGAAGGGCACCTCATCCATTGGAGTGTTCGAATACGTGGAGGCACGGACTGACACTCTGGCATTCTGCTTTTTAGGCGACTGATTTGGTCGTAGAATTCGTCGCATTGCCGTTGTCGGCTCTAGAAGATCTGATGTAAGATAAAATCATTATCGCTGACATTAGTACCAGTTGTCAGACTTTTGGCTTCCGCCCCTTTTGAACCTGATAAAGTGACAGGTTTTTCACATTTTCACCTCTCGCGCCACTGTTGAAGCTTTTAGCTTTTTTGTGTTTGACTGCGACACATCTGCTCTGTGTTTTTTTTCTGTGGGCCAGAGGCGATCAGATCGGTGTTGGCCACGTCCCATCATTCCGTTCAGGCTCGGTGGCAGAAAGACAACATGGCTGCCGTTGGCAGCGCACGCGTTGGCAGCGCCGACGATGGTACTGCTGTCTTGAAAATTCTGCGCACGGTGCTCGATTACGAGCTCGTGTTTGCTGAAAATGAACGGATCATCATCGACAAATTTTGGAATCAGGTCAGCTGCAATCGTCGGTCAACTTGGGCCGAGGCATGAAGGCAGCGGCTTGGCCCGAGTCATGCCAGGTCTTTTGAATCTTTGCTGTTCATGCTTTGCTCTCGTCATTTTTTTATGCCCTTGAATCCATGACGCACCTTTATTCCAACTTTGTGGGCCGTTTCGATCCGATGTTTATCTCCTGGGTCAAGTCGATGACAGTGGCTGTGCTCATCTTCGCTCTCTCCTCTTGCCTCTGTGAAATTTTGCGCCGTGGTCCTCGTGCGTCCAGGCCAAGGTTTACAAGGTGCTGGACAATACACTGCTTGATGCTATCTTTGACGTTCACTACGAATTTCAGTACTTGACCGTCGAGAACCAAGCTCTTCTCAAGTCTTGTCTTCTGCCAACCATGTTCGTCCTTCCATCGCGCCGTAGCTGTGCTAGCAAGTGCTTGGAAGAGTTGGTGATGCTAAGTGTGCTTTGAACTTTGACACCAAACACGTTAAAACTCACTTTGACATGAATGCTTGCTCAGCTCGGCCCAAGAAAGAGCCCAACAGCTACACAAGCTTTTCTCGGGCAATATTACGGATGTTTATCTCAAATATTTGGCAACCTGCCTTGTTCGGGACCGTGTCTTCTCAAGGTATATTCGGCTGTCAACGGGCTTCTCCATGAAGCTCACATGACGTGGTTTTCTGATTAGCATTCACGTGCGCGCTCCTGCTATCTGGTCATCGCAGGGTCATGGGGAATGATCGCTTTGCTGCGTTTGTAACCGCGGTGGAGCGAGAGGTCCGAACGCCCATCGACAAGCTCATCAACCACCCAGTGCGTGTCAAAGATGAGCATTGTCCCGTTTTGTGCTGTTAACCACCAGCTTCCTCTCATGCTTTCGTGGATATAATTTTCTCTTGTACGCCGTAGCTTCAACAGTTGACCTTTTACATTGAGTCAATAAAGCGCCTGGCTGCGACTGGCGCCCTTCCGCTAGATGCCGAGCTCAACCAAGCTTGGCAGGCTCTGAATCGCCGTATGTTCCAGAAACTCATCATCTCAACTTCTGATTGTCCGTCCGGATCACTGCACACTACGCACTATACTATTGTCTCATCCTGGGGGCCTCTTGCAGACAAGGAGCAGCTGAACGAACTGCGTCAAGAAGAGCGTCGCATGGCTGAGTTTGAGCTCTCGTTTTCAACTGCCAAGCTGCCATTCACGGCACCTGATACTGCAGAATCAGCGCAGTTGCATCCGTTGCGAGAGTTTCACGAGCTGATGATGCGCGTACGGCTTGCATACCCCTAGTTTTATTGTGCATCGCGGTTTCGTGCCCCTGTTGGATGTGGTGATCTGCCTTTTGAGCTGTCTTCATTGGGCCTTGCTTACATATGCTTATGGTGTGATAGTATGCATCTTCATGTGCTTTGATCAAGATGGCCGAGGTGCGAAGTTTGCCCTAGTTTGGTGTGGTTCATCGTCACTAGTATGGTCTTATCGTGGTGCAATGTGCGTTTGTTAGCCGCAAGAATTGCTGCTTCCTCGTCGGATGATTCATGGCGGTCGGCTTCAGTGCCTCCATGCTGGCATCGTTCGGCGACGACACTTTTTTTTGTTTGAGACCCATCTGCTCATCAGCAAGCCCACGAGCCACAGCCACAAGCTAAAGCTGGTCATTGATCTCTCTTATGCTTGGATAAATCCCACTCCTTCACTGCCAGAGTCTATCGAGGTTCGGACTCACCTGAGAAGAACCCGCGGATCAGAGTTGTCCTCCTTGATGCTTGATGCTGAGTTTTTTTTTTTTCATCCGCTCATAGGCCAATGCGGCATTCCTGTTGGGGGATCCAAAACATCGCGGCTTTGTCTGCGTGTGTGAGAATGCCTCCGACCGCGAGCACTGGCTCCAGCACTTGCAAAAGTTGGTTCCATGTCGCATTTAATTTACATCCCATCGAGGGCTTGCACTGCACTGGCTGATCAAGCGCGTCAAGGGGGTGCTGACAAGGGCTCGGATCATCTGCTTGTCCGATTGATTTAGAGCCATGGTTACGATGAAGAGCCGTTGCGAGCCGGAGGAGATGGTGTCTGTCTGTCCGTTGATCCCAGCCATCGTGCCTGACATTCAACGGTTCGCTCTGCTGATTTTGTGCTGAGCAACGGCGAAATTGCCCTTTTTTTTTTGACTTGTTCTACTGAACTTACGTTTTGAGCAATGCTGTTTTAGATCGGACGTGACCATCAAGAGCCTGTCCTTGCCCTATCTCACCACCACGCGTGACGTGGTGGCAGCTGTATTGGAGAGCTGCGAGCTTGATGCACGCAACCCCGAGGATTTTGTTCTTTTCGAGCGAAGCTCGCGAGGCTTCAAGCAAATTCAAGGTAGGTTTGCTTCGAGAAGTTCAATGCTTGACACCGCAATGACATGGGGTCCCTGCTTGTTCCTCAACCGACTCATATGTCACAGAATGGGAAAGCCCGTTGGCTGTCTGCCGCTGGGCTCGCCGCCAAAATTTTCACGACGGGAATTGCGATCTTATTTTGCGTCACGTATCCAGCCCCCCCTTGACAAGTATGTATAACACCACGTTCCGTGCTTAAGGTTTAATGCTCTTTCTCTTGGGCCTCTTCGAAAACGGTTGCCAGAATTCCGTTTGCCTCTCACTTGGGGTGGATTCAAAACAGATGATAACGTGCCAGCAAAGCTGCAGGTGACGTTGCGAGCAGCCATTCCACGGGCCCTGCAGCGACGTCGCACGTCGCTCAGCTTGGACCCCTCGCAGTCATATGCGGGCTCACCACCCTTGGCTGGACCGCTGTCAACCAGCCCCACCACGACCGGCATCCCCTTGGGCAAGCACAAATCCAAGCGCGGCATCAAGTTGTTGCGCAAAATCGTCCCGAGCCGCAATCGATCCCGCACATCCAGCAGCGAGGCTACCGAGTCGTCAATTGACACCAGTGAACTGGGGTGAGCATGTTTGGCACGCGCAGGTGCCTTTTCCTGGGATTGAGGTTTTCAATCCAAGCAAGCACACTCACGGCATTCGAACTGCGTGTGTAGACTTTTTTATGGCCGTCCTTTGGACGATTTGGTGGAAGACGGGCGGTTGCCGACTGCGCTTGAGGTCTGAAGACACTGCTTTCGAACTGTCCATGTGTTGGCTTGCCACTAGCCCGCGTTTGATTGTTTGCATCGGCCCTTGTGTCTGACCACTCTATAATTCTGGTAGGACATGCTTGGCCGCCTTTATTTTCATGGGTCGCGCACGCCCGAGCTCTTCCGCAAGAGTGCCAACGGACGCGTTGTGCAGCTGATTCGCGAGAAGCTTGATACTGGGGAGGAGGTGGAAATGGGCGATATCCCACCTCTCATCCTTGGGGCGGCTCTCAAGGAATTTCTGCGCAACATTCCAGACTGTCTGTTGCCGCAGCGGCTCTATCCTGGTGAGTCCTACATACGCACACTCTCAACGCTTTGGAAAATCCAAGCACAGTGTGGGGCCACCTCTTGTTTTTGTTCTCTGTCTCTCTGTCACTCTGTCTCTCTGTTTCTGTCTTTGTCTCTTCCTTTGCTTTGACTTTTTGAGACAATTGTGAAATGAATTCGACTGACACTGTCGTGGCCACCTCTGTGTGCTCGTTTGATACCTCGCAGAGTTGGCGACATCCAATGGCATCAGTGATACGCGTCGGCGTGTGGCAGCAGTGCGAACGGCCCTCGCCAACCTGAGTGGTGCGCGTTTCTATCTGTTCAAGTGCATGTGCCGTCTTCTACTGCAGGTTGCGCGGTATTCCGAGAGCAATCACATGACAGGTGCGGCCACGCAACGCCTATTGATCAATGCTCATAGCCATGTTGTCGGCGCGGGCTCTTGTGCGGACGAGCGTATTCATAGTCTCCCCTTCTGCTGCTTTGGTCTTTCTCAGCTTCCAACTTGGCCATCTGTGTGGGACCAAGCATTCTATGGCCTCCACGTCCCGAGGACGTTCTGAAAAATGACGTTCCAAAGTTGATTGAAGTCAGTTTGCTTTTGACGGCACCGGCTTTGGCGTTCAGCTCATGATTCCTGTCATGAAGACTTTTTGCTCACCTTGAGGCTCTTTTCCCGCCCATCAGTTTGTCTTGGACCATTTCGTAGAGGTTTTCCCAGACACGGAGGTACCGATCTTTGACAGTGAGGTGTATCGGCAGCGCTTTGATCTACCCCGAGCCGACTCAAGCGACGATGAAGAGCTGCAATTGGGCGAGGACTATGTCTGAAAAGCCCACGCTGCGACTTGTTATGCCGGCGATGCGTCAGGCACCGAGACAGAAAGCAAGAAACCAGACCTGCCTTATGCATTGTCTTCTTTATCTTTTGCTCCTTTGCTTGTGTATCATGACAATGCCTGTCTTCATTGCCGGAAGAAGCATCTTGCAACTTGAGTTTGCCTGGACGACTTGGTGTTTGACTTACCGGCGGCGCCGGACTGTCAACCCCCTAGTCTGCAAAGCTCGTCACTTGCATGTCTCTTCGACGTGCATGTATTGAAGCGTTGTTTTCTTCTGTTTTTCCACGATGATGCTGTTTCTATTTTGCCTATGGCACACAGTGTATAGTAGTTTCAATCGATGCGCTTGTACAAAGAAATTCAATTTCGGCTTCAAGTTTTATACGTCGCAATACAAGCGACAGGAGTGCCCACCATTAATTGTCATGTCAGACAAGCGTGCCAGCGAGATGAAATTTTTTATTCCTCAGTCTTGCTCGGCGAAGCTTCAGGCTTTCTTGATGCTGAATTGCGAAGGGGCAGCGCCACACATGACGCCAATATTCTCAGGAGTGTAGGGCGCAGCAAAATCAAACTGAGCGTCCAATTGCGCATCGGCACGGGCTGCCGTAACGGCTGCCTTGATGGCAAAAGTGATGCAGGAGGCCATGCACGCAGGTGGTTCACCCGAAGCTACACGGCACATTCGACATGCCCGAGGATGATGAGCATCGGCTAGAAGGTTCGTGTCCATTGCCAGGCGAGAAGAGAACCCACCTTTGCTGCGCAAAACACCAATCGGATTGGGTGCATCCGGCAACAGCTTGATCCAGCTTGCTTGAGGGATGTCTGTTCAATATACAGGTGTGGAAAAAAAAAGGAGGGGATCAACGCAAATAGTGATTGCGCTCTCTCTCTTCTTGTCCATGACGAAAACAGCGTCTTAAAGAAACAAAAAACAAAATAACACAACAAAACCAGAGACAGAAACAAAAACAAGGTAACGGCGTCGAGTTGCAACTGACCTCGCACACTTGGTGGCTTGTATTCCCAAGTGCCATCGGTGAGAAGTTCACCAGAGGTCGAGTCGAATAAGACTTCCTCGGTCAGCCAGTAGCCCAACCCCATGAGCAGGCCACCTTCAACCTGCCCAATGTCCACGGCCGGGTTCAAGCTGTTCAAGTCGAAGCAAGATACAAGGTCAAACAGAAGATGCGCTTGACAATCTTTGTCACGATAAGGCAACAAATGCCTGCAAATTCCCCCTTTTCAAAACAAAACAAAAACAAGAAGAAATAGAAAAAGAAAAACAATGCAATACATATTCTCACCTTTTGCCACAGTCAAAGAGCAGACGGACATCGACAATCTCCACCTCTCCTGTCAGGACGTCAATCTCCACCTGGCGCAGAAACACAATCAGAAGAACAACGTGTCAGGTGATGACGGAGATGCGAAGAGGAACAGGAAAGTCAGAAAGGGCAAGGCAGGTCCACTCTGAAGACATATCCGCAGATAATATTATTTACCTCAGTTGAGATCATGCCATAGCTGTTGTACACAAAGGCACCGGCCGGGGTCGGGGCCGACCAGGCCTGCATGACGTGTGGTGCAAAGTCATTGCAGAAGGACGGTGAGCACAATTGTGGTCAGATCCAAGCACCTTGACGAGCGAAACATATTTGCACAGAACAAAAAATACACACGAAAAAAGCCTCCTCTCCCTCAGTCCCAGCCACAGGTAGCGAAATCATTGCATACCCGTGTCATGAGGTCAACGCCAGCATCATAGGCGGCAGACACGACATCAGTCCAGCTTGGGTTGCTCTTGGCTTGCCAAAATGGGCTGAGTCGAGTGTTCAGGTCCTGGCATGCAGCCATAGCGGCCATGGACAAGACGTCCGAAGTGGCTGAACCACCGGTCGGGGTGCAGTTTGCGTTGACCACGGTGTCGTTGCTCTCCACGCGGATCATGTCGATCGGTGCGTTTAATTGGTAAGCCACGACTTGCATCATCTTGATGTCAGAGCCCTGACCCATCTCCACGCCTATCATGGAGACGACAGACATGACTCCGTGCACACAACTCATGACAGCAACCTTTGAAGCAAAAGACGAACCGCCATGTTTGATAGTAATGGTGCCATCGATGTGCGAGATCGACAGGAACATGGACAATTGGTAGCCATTCCAACCTAAGCCATACTTGTTGGGGTTCACGGCCAGACCGCGCTTGCTATCGTGCAAATTGACCGGCGATAGTCCGTGTGAGCTGATTCAACTCTGGCGCCAACCAAAGAACTACTGTTTGACCTCACTGCCCCCATTCATTTGGCTTATCTTTTGTTTGTCTAGCCAAAAGGGCGAGTACAAACCGCCAACGATTGGCTTTGTTGAAAGCAAGCACATTGGCTTGCAGTTTTGACAGGGAAATCTCCTCCACAAAGTTGTCCCACAGCGTGGGCAGGCTGCAGTAAGCCAGCTTCATACCCAGTGGCGTGACCTATGCATTGCACAGCCGATTAGTCTCATCAGAACGGTAGCACAGGCTGAATTCACTTTTATTTTGTGCTTACAGCATGCCGTCCTCTGTTTTAGTCATACCTCATTGGGTTGATAAATGTTGTTCTTGCGGAAAGTGATCGGGTCAACCTTCAGAGCATCAGCCACTTGCTCCACAACCTGAGGTTCAGAGATGATGCAACGCCATGCAAAGCAATGAGCACGCTTCGGAAAAAAGTAACGCTTACACTCTTGCTGTCCCACTTGGCTTGTTTGAGACGCTGACATACGCATTCCATCCAGTAGATGGCAGGCATGCAGCCAGGCGCGCGGGTTGCGGTGTTGGACTGCGTGTTGGTGCGACAAGTCTAAGGAGACATGATTCGTGTGCAGGTGAGGCATGGAATACGCTTTGGAGAACAACATCGACAACACCATCGACAACACCACCGACAACACCATCGACAACAACATCGACAATACCATCGACAACATCATCGACAACAACAAAAAAAACAACGGCTCAGAGGGCGCAGGCAGATGCACAAGACGGAGCAACCTCACCTTGGGGTCAATGTACCAGTTAGGGCAGTAATAAGCGGCGTCTGCGCACGTAAGACCTTGGCCCATGGCGCTATCGTAAACGTAGGCGCCCGTGTTCATGTACCAAGTAGCCTGACAGGGAAGTTGAGTTTAGTCTTGCATGCTTTCGAGCCACTCAAACCTTGCGCCACATCGGTCATCTGCCTCAAGAGCGAGGTCTCACCTTGATAGCATGCAGTTTGCCGTCCTTCACACCAGCCTGAAAGTCACCGCGGAACGGATGGCTATCGCAGGATCCAAGGCAAGATGGGGGCATGAAGTTAGATCGTTCGGCGAAAAGCACGCACACCCAGCAATGGGCTAAGCCAGGGAGTCGCGATGTGGACCATGGCTTCATGAACACACCGTTTACCAATCATGCGCATGTTGGTCTTGATATCAAGGATCGTGCGAACGGTGCGGTTCAGTTTGCTAGCGGCAAAGCCAGTGGCAGCTGCTGTAAACCAAGAGCGGGTAATCTTGCCACCGTAAGAGCCACCCAAACGTTTGGTCTCAACCTACGGGTCATTGCGCGAGGGGGTAAGTGTAGAGGACTTGAGCTCAACAAACGTCAAGGCGACAGGGGTCTTGAGGTGTGAACATGCATCCGCAAGGGCTAAGGATGAGGGCAATGGTCAAGTCACCCTCTGACCTTGACTTTGTTGGCCGGGAGATTGGTGATGGCTGCAACGCGCTGGCGCATGTTGTCGAGATACTGCGTAGAACACCACAAATGAAGCCCTCCATCTTCCTGGGGGATGGAGATGCAAGCTTGCTTCTCCATGTGAAAGTGGTACTGGCTGCCAGCAGAGGCAGATCCCGTGATCACTTGATCGCACTCTTTAAGAGCGGCGTCGATGTCTTCACCGGCTTGAAGTGGGCCGGCATCGTGGAAATAGCTACCAGCCTTGATAGCGTCTTCAATGGTCAGCAACGGGGGCGCTTGGTCAGAGTAGGTCACAACAGCCAGGGAGGCGGCTTCATTTGCCAGGCGCTGTGTGCTGGCCAGAACCATGCCGACAGCCTGGCCGTGATACCAAACCTTCTCGCCCACAGCCACAAACAGTGGTTCGGGGTCTGCCGAGAGTGCTCCCTCAGTTGTGGTATAGTTTTGGGGCAAATCAGCACCAAGGAAAACTTCTTCCACTCCTGGGGCAGCCTTGACGGCAGAAATGTCCACACTGTTCAGCGTGGCGTTGGCCACATCGGCAAGGATAAAGGCTGCATATAGCGTATCCGGCGTCGCGGCAATGTCATCCACATACTTGGCTTCACCGCTTGCTTGGAGATAAGCCGTGGCCTGAGTCAAAATGGGGAGGGAGCATGAGAGCACCACAGGGACACGGGGAGAAGCGTGAAAACAATCAGAGGAAAGCCGCCACAGGCTATCAGGAAGCCGAGCCTCAAGGCGCCTAACCTTGGGAAGGGCTTTACCAACAGGGGCTAGCGTGTCGTCCTCGTCATAAAGGATCTGGGCTGTCGAGGCGGGCCGCGAATAAGGGGTTGCAGCAGAGGCCAGGGTAGGCGCTAAGGTCGGGGCGCAGGCCAAGATGCACTTGTATAGGAGCGACTGTGCCAGGAGCGAGCGATACTCCAAGGAGGAGCTGACGGGTGTTGAGACAAAGGGGACTTCCTTGACCACCTGGGCAATTACATATTGGATGTTGCTCTCATCATACACACTCATGCCAGCCAGCATTTGGCTGGTGACTGCAAGCTGGTACGGTTTGGTGCTGAGGCCGCCGTAAACAATGGTTGGTGCTCCTTCAAAAGCGGATGTCGAGCTATCCAGTGTCGCGCGGAAGGCAATGTTGACATAGGCATGGGAGTTGACGTGGCGCTTCATCACCTGTTATGCATTGGCCCGAATGGGTGTTGAGAGTCGCGCGAAAGCGGCAAAGAGCGGCAAAGAGCAGCAAAGAGCGAGTGTCTGAGGACAAGACTCAGGGCCGGACCTTGTGGGAGAAGAAAACTTCCTTCTGGGCTAGCACGGGAATGGTGCCAGACACGAGGACTTTTCCAGTCATATCAAGCTGCACAAAGTCAGCAAAGGATACAGTCTTGGTGCCACTGGCATCTGCAATGCGCACAGTGGTCCCCGCTGCCATCAAAAGCGTCGCAACATCCGAGGGGAAGTTGTCGTGCAGATTGGCCAGCATAACATTGCCTGCCCAAGATGCAGCAGCACGGACGGGCGTGTTGGCCACCTTCATCAAGTGCTCATGCATGGCTACGTACGAGGTGGAAGCAGCCGAGTTCTGCCAGGCCAGGACAAGACAACATTAGAGCAGTACACAAGGTGGCCAACGACATGTCAAACGAAAAGCCATATGTCAGGTACGGAAAGAAACTAGACATAGCAAATAGTGAAAAGAAAAAAAAAAGCAACAAACGACGGAGGGGTGCCAAGATGCGGTCAAAACAACGGCCATATGCGCTTCACAAAGAAAAAAGTTTGAAGCTGGAAGATGACCAAGTTTGTAAGGGATGTTGGAGAGGAGACTGCTGACTGACCTGATCCAGCGCCTCCAAGAGAGCGGCCAGGGTCACGGTCGCGCCCAAAGTCAGGCCGGTTGAGGCGTCAAACTTGATACCCGAGAGGTCCGGGAGGCGTGAAATATCGTACTTGACTTGCGGGATATCGTCCTTGAAAATGCCTGTGGAGGTGTTGCCACATACAAGCATGTAGTGGCGGGTTTCGGTGGCGAGCATGGAGACCAGATCGTCCAAGCTTGCTGGCTGGATCCACGCCATGCCTTGACTGGAGGATTGAAGCAGAGCCGGGGCTGAGGCAGCGCCTGCAGCGTCGGCGTGGCAGAGCGCGCCTCCCTTGTCCGAGCAAAAAGCACCGCAGGCGCGAGATGAGCAAGGGGCAGCCTTGCGGCTGGCCAGATCTTCGATGTCAGCCCGTGCCTCTTCCTTGGCAGCCGCCTTGAAAGCATCCAGAATAGGACGGTAGCTGTGTTTTGGTGCAACAAAGGGCGCGAGAAAGCAAGGCAGAGGGGCGCGCGTGAGAGAAAATGCGGAGGAGCGACTGGGAATGGGCTCAAAGTAGCCGGCGAGCGCATGTTCGGGAAGGGTTGCTGGGGAGTTGTGCAGCACACTACCTACCCGGTGCAGCGACAGATGTTGCCGTCGAGAGCCATTTCCATCTCCTGAGCGGTGGCCGCGGGCTCGGATTGCAAAAGAGTGTACATGCTCATGACCATGCCGGTGGAGCAACCACCACATTGGCTGCCCCAATGCTCGGCGAGGGACTTTTGAACTGGGTGCAGCGTGGTTCGGGAGGAACCAATACCTTCCACGGTTGTAACTTCGGCGCCATCCATGGCACAGAGGGGGTGCAGGCACGAGTTGACCGGTTTGGGCACGCTATCACCAGGTGAGGTGATGGACACGACACAGCAGCCGCAGCCGCCCTCACCACAAGATCGCTTGGTCCCCTTGAGGAGCTTGACGGTGCGCAAGTACTCGTTGAGCGACATGGCGGGATCCGGGTTCACAACTGTTTCAGTCTTGCCATTGATCTTGAACGTGATGGCGGACGTGCGGAGCGCCGTCTGGAAGAAAAACACATGCTGACAGCTTGGACATTGTGCCCGACAGACCTTATCGCCCAGCGGCGGGATCTTGGGCCGCAAGCTGTGACAGTCGAACAGGCGCCATTCGTCAGAGGGTGTGGTGTGGTGGCGCTGGAAATGAATGACTCTCAAAAGCAACGCAAATAGTTGGGCTCTCACCTTTGCTGGCAGCGAGGGCAGTTGATGGTGCCTGAAACCTCCTCACTCATCCCCGCACCGGCGGACGCAGCTGGCATGGGCGGCATGACGATGCTGTCGTCGATCGCTCTGGATCGCGGCAAAAAGGAAGAGAGGCGACAGCCCAATCACACGCCATCGACACTCGGCAAGTTGTTGTTGCTGTTGATCGCAAAGATCTCGTCGTGTGCATAAGCAGAGAAGAGACAGTAGATGTCTGAGTTTGGGGACTTGTTGCAGAGTCCATTGCTCCTCCAATGAGCAATGGAGGAGGCGTCAAAGCCGACAGATGGTAGCGCGAATGAATTGTCAGAAAAAATTTGTCAGCAAAAATGAGGGTCAAAGCGAGTGCGCGCACACACACGTGTGTTCTTGTTCCATTTCCTGTTGCAGCTCGGCTGACCAGCACAGCACGGCGGTATCCTCGTGCAAGTTTGGGCAGCGACCAGCACTTGCAAATCGGAGGGCAACGGCGTTCAAGCAGACCATTGACAATGGCAGACCGCTTTGGATCCGTCTGTCAATTCTTTCTCGAGGGCAACTGCCGCCGGGGCAAGAAATGTCGTTTCTCCCATGACACCTCTGGTCAAAGCGCACCAGCAGCGCCCGTCCCTGCTCCTGTTTCACCGGCTGAGGCAACTCCCAAGCGGGTCAAGCGCGAGTTTGCTGCCGTTCCTCCCCCAAAGGTGAGCAAATCACCTTCTTCATCGCGGCGCTTCCGCCTGTTATTGTCCAGAATCGCGGGGAACATGGGCGTGCCGTCATGTAGGGCAAGGATTTTCACCACCCTGCCTGTCGGGCATGTCATGATCCATAGGCACGCGTGCAAAGCAGCTCCAGCTCCAGCTCTTCCAGCTCAAGTAGCAGTGAAGATAGTGACGAGGAGACTTTGCCTTTTACCGCACCCACCCCTACAACGACCACACCTGTCCAGGCTAAAGCCAAGGCCAAGACCCCCAAGCCACAGACCTCTACGCCTGCTACGCCTGCACCTCAAGTTCCTAGCCCCGAGTCTTCCGACTCTGATTCTGATGATGAGCCTGAGCTGCCTCACGCCAAGGCTGTGCCAGTAACTACACACGTGGTGCCAGCTACCGCTAGTACACCCAGCGTGGCGACCCCCGAAACAAGCCGTGCGACCAAAGCCAAGGCCGCGAAAAAGATCACCACCAAAGTCGAGACACCCGTGTCAGTGCCCGTCACCCCCAAGGCAGCTACCTCTGCTGCCACCGTCAAGACAGACACCACGCAATCTCGCGTGCTTTTGGCTGGTTATGAAGCTCTGCACTGGCTCGTTGCTCGCACCCGACGCCATCCGCGCTTTGAAAAATGCTACAGCGACATTCTTGCCGGTTCTCTCAAGCCCGGTTGGGCCGAGACCTCCTCGCACTCGGGATCCAGCGGCGGATCGCGCGCGGGTCACTCCCTCATTGCACTTGATTGTGAGATGGTGGAAACCACGGCCTCTAGTAGCCAGGTGGCCCGTGTCACGGTGGTGGCGCCAGGCATCACCCTTCCTGGTATGTTGCGCGTGTCAACGACGGGCAGGGACCCCTTTTTGGACGTTGGCCTTGCACGCCCGGCCGACTCATGAAAACACCTGCCTGCTGCGTTGATTTTTGTCTGACTTCTGTTACCTGAAGGTGTCTTCCCCTCCCAGCCCTTGATTCTCATGGACTTGCTGATCAAGCCCACCGGTACGACCTACATGTTTTGCAAAATGATATGGCGAGGGCAGGGGGCGAGCCGGCTCTGTGATCGAACTGAATGCAATCTCACACGGGTCCTCGCTGCGTACGGCTTTTGCACGGTGCTGTTGCGCGCCTCACCATTGACACGCTGATAGCTCAAGTGATTGATTACCGTACTGCCATCAGTGGCATCACAAAAGAGCAACTTGAAAACGGTATTACCATGCGTGAGGCTCAAGAGGTAAGGGGCGCATTCGAGTAAAAAAAAAAAAATCAAGAGCCGCGTTGTAGAGAGGAAGAGAGAAAGAGAGAGAAAGAGAAAGAGAGAAAGAGAAAGAGAGACAGAGAGAGAGAGAAAAGAAGAAGAAGCAGAAGAAGAAGAAGAAGAAGAAGAAGAAAGAATGATACAAGCGAGGACCTTCATTTTTTGCTTATCCACTGTTGTGGTCTGACGACTGATTTTGCGTTGCTGCGTCACCAGGCGTTAACTCGCGTCATCAAGACCGATACGGTGGTAGTGGGTCACTCGCTGCATTTTGACTTGGCCAGCCTCAAGCTGCGCCACTCCTTGGTTATCGACACGGCCTTCTTGTTCTCCATTAACCGTTTGCCCAAGCGCACCCTGAGTCTTCGCGTAAGTTCAATTTGTGTCGCTGTGCCGCGCGCAGGCTATCAAATAGTGCTTGCTGCTCTAGCATCACATCAACACATGCTGCTTGGCATCATCCACGCATTTTTCAAACATGTAGGATGTGGTCTTGCAGCAGTTTAACATTGATTGCCAACCCGATGGGGTAGCTCACGGTACGTTTTGCTGTCTGAACGCTTTGCCGTTGGGGAGGGTCGAGGCTCACTTACGCTGTGGCTTTGCGCTGATGGACATGTCTGTACAAATATTCAAGATCCCCTGGCTGATGCCTTGTGGCCGATGGAGATTGTGCGTCAGGCTGTGGATGCGATTGAAACGCAGCTGCCGTGGAATCCCACCACGACTAGTTTTGCCGAAGCACACTTCACGTTGGACATGCCCAAGGCCTTTAAGCAACGTCTTGAGCTTGTGGGACTTCCTGCTAGTAAGTTAAAGTGTTGATCAACCCGGTGATGAGAAGTCAGAGCCTTCCCGTCATCGGATGCTGATGTGCTCCTTTGTCGATAGACACAACGCGCCAGAATGTCGTAGCAACGTTTGCTGGCCTCGGCATTGCTTTGACCGAGCCTCAGGTGCGTACAAGTTTAGCCCGGGTCTACGCTTCTGTGGTACCGTACAGTCAAAGTGCTCATAGTAGCCCGTCCCGCGAATCGACGCGCAGTGCGGCAAGATGACGACGCGTTCATTTGGCAACAAGGCAGGCGCCGAAATGTCGACCAAAATTTCGCTGCTTACGGAAGAGCAAGCGCTTGAGGTTGGTGGCAGTCACACAGTGACATTATAGTGTAAATTTTTTTTGTGCTGCTCCTTTTTTTCCTTTTGTTTAACATCATCCCACGACTTTGCTCGCGGAACAGGCCTTTTTGAAGTTGCCCGCGGCCAAGATGAAGCTGTCAGACGAAGGCTTCTTTGAAAAGCGCCTCAACTGGCCAGGTCACGCCGAGGTACGTATTCGCTGCCTTTCTTTGGCCCGTAGTTTTTGTTTTTGTTTTCTTTAAGCAAGCACCTTCCGCGACTCTTTGCTCAAATCACCTGTGTATGATACTGTAGTCTCGGCCTGTGCGCATTAAATACTTTGGCGAAAACGAGGCAATCATGGCCCAGCACCGCGAACAGATGGCTCTGAAGCAGGCTGCTGCTGCTGCTGCTGCTGCTGCCGCCGCCGCTGCTGCCGCCGCCACCCACGTCACCACTGGTGCGATTCAGCCAGCTTCTCCACAAATGGTGCCCGTCATGCAAGTGCCCCAAACGATGCCAACCTCGTCCCTTGCGACAACCTCCACCAGCTTGGCACCGCCAACAACCGCCGTGCCCAGGTTTTGCTCCAGCTGCGGTACTTCCTTGGTAGATCAGACTGTGGTTAAGTTTTGCCCCAACTGTGGGACACGCATCGTTTGATTTGGGATGGAAAATTGCTCGCTGTCATGACTCTTGTCGTATGGTTTTGTGTACTCATGTTGAGGCATGGCTCAAATATCAATGATTGAAATGGGGACCTTTGTCCAGCCTGTGCCATCAGCAACAGCACACTTGCCATCAATTTCGAAATCGATAAGTGTTGCTGCAGAACGAATGAACAGAGCGCAAAACAAAAGAGTGGAAAAAAAAAACAGTCACTCCGACAGCAGCAGCAGCATTAAATGGAGAGGGGAAGGAATGACTTGAACCGCCAGCAAGCACACGTGTCCAGCGAACATTCACTTCAAACACAAGACACAAAAAAAGACGATATAAAAGAGAGAGAGAGGGGGGGGAGAGAGAGAAAGAACAAAAAACATCAAGTCTGGCGTTTTTGAGGCACAAATGGAATTGAAGGCGCTTTTGACAGATGACTACACTCAGCTGGCAATGCCAGCAAGGGTGTCATCCCCTGCATACGAAAAGCCTTGGAAGACATCCGCCTCGCTGACGCGGACGCTGATCAAGTTCTCCACCTGCGCACGAGAATTCAGAGCATGAGCAGCGGCGACGGAGTGCTGGTTGGTGACACAAGCGCTCATCATACCGATTGATGGTTGACAACAGAACCCGGTACAGGCTCATTGACGAATTCTTGATCGATGTTGGAAAGATCGAGATCACTAGCCAAATGGGGTTTCCAGGGAGGGGGAATCTACAACGTCGGAGGTGCAAAGGGCAAAAGCCGTGAGACCATTGAATCGTGCAAAGGATCTCCAAAACACCCACCACATTGAGTTCATTTGAACTGCAGCATGCGGTTTGGAAAAAGCAGGTGCAGCAGATACACGGTGGGGGGAGAGCAGCTACTTACTTCGCGGCGATCAAGGGCATCAAAATTGATCGTTTTGAAGAACTTGTGGGTCTTGACCTCTTCAGCATCTGTGTCACCGCTACCCAAGCGCTTGGCTGGGTCACGCTCCAGCAAGGCCTCAAGCCATTGGCGGGCAATCATTGGAACGTGCTCCGGGAAACGCAACTTGTCGTGCAAAATGCGTTCGTACATCTCATGGACCTGGCGGCTGTAGAACGGAGGCTATGGGCATGATGAAATGGAGTGTGTGAGTGCACAGGGAGAGGCGAGGCCAAATATGCTTCAAAAGAGCACAATCCATCGACACCGAGTCACGCGAAACTCACCAGACCGCACATCATCTCGTATGTCACACAACCCAAGCACCACCAGTCGACGGGGCGGCCGTAGCTCTGCCGTTTCAATACTTCGGGGGCCAGATACTGCGCATTCAGGAATAGAACAGAACAGAAACAGGCCGTATAAGAGGCTGTTTGTGTTTGGTGACGTCAAGCGTTTGGTCTGAGCGTAAAACACACCTCAGGGGTGCCGCAAAAGGTGGAGGTGACACCTCCAGGCTCCACATTCTCCTTGCACAATCCAAAGTCTGTCAAGACGACATGGCCGTCGGCATCGAAGAGAATGTTTTCTGGCTTGAGGTCGCGGTAGACAATGTTCAGGGAATGCAAGTAACCAAGGGCCGAAGTGATCTCGGCAGCGTAAAACTGGGCTCGGAGAGGGCCAAAGCGTTTCTCCTTTTGAAGATGAAAGAAGACTTCACCTGAAGATGATTTATCAACAGAAAGATACCGAGGGGCGCAGTGAGCATCATGAAGGAAAGTATGTAAACCAGTTTGCTTTAGGCAAGCATTGGGGCTGACGTGGGCCAAGGCATGAAACAAGAAGAAGATGAACAATGACAACATCAGGGGAAGAATAAATTTACCGCCGTTGACGTAATCGAGGATGAAAAAGAGTTTGCTGCGAGTCTGGAAGGAAAAGTGTAGACCGACGAGAAAGGGGTGATGGACGTTGCCGAGCAAGACATTACGCTCACTCATCACGTGCTTGGCTTCATTCTGCGCGGAGGTACGATGGTGGTGAGATGACAACTGATGGCGTTTGTTTGTGTTTGGGAACGTCCGATGGGAGTCTGAGCAGGCGGCGAACCTGCTTGACAATGGCATCCTTGGAGAGAACCTTCACGGCATAGAGCTTGTTATCCTTCTTGTGCTTACCCAGCAAAACCTAGGAGCGGGTGTTGCAGGTCAGACTTGTGTGGGCGAAAGCGCCATGGGCGATCAGGAAGCTTACCTTGCCAAAGCTGCCTTTGCCAATGACTTTGAGCATTTCAAAATCAGCTGCGGTGGCCCGCTTATTCTCAGCGGCACCAAGGTCAAACTCGTGGCTGGGGCCACCATCTTCAGCCACATCTTCCTCTTCCGCTGCTTTGCGGGCTTCCTCATCTTCACGCTCCGTTGCAGTCGGGCCCTGACCACCGCGGCCGTGGCGTGGCGTGGCCATCATAAAGTCACGCACGGCAGGGTGTGTGACAATTTTGGGATCGCTAACAACACGTTGAATAAACTCGTGAAGACCGCGCTTGCGCGTCTATGGTGTAGCCAAGACGTGAGGGGCGTTGGCCTGTACGTGGTGGCAGCTCACCAAACTGTATCGATGACGTGAGAGAGAGCTCACCTTGATGAAGTCTGGGTCAAAATTACCAATGAAGCGCTTGGAGGGAAATTTGAACTTTTCGCGTGGAAAAGCCTCCTTGAGCTGTTCGTAGAGCTCGCGAAACTCGCTGTACCTGCATCACGAGCAAAACCAGAGCACCGGGGGCAAAGCACGAGAGCAGGGCATGAGAACGGGGTACATCAGAGGCACGAGCACACACACACACACACACACACACACACACACACACACACACACACACACACACACACACACACACACACACACACACACACACACACACACACACACATAACATCATAAAATACAGAAACAATGCTTATGTTTGATTCAAGATTGAGGTGGGTGTGGGCCGTTCGTACCGGTGAAAGACGGCGACTTTGCGCGAGCCAAGGACGAGCTCAATCTTATAGACGGTGAAGCGCTTGTCATCGCGGCGGGTTTCGTGGGCCACGATGGTGGCATCTTCCACTTCACTGGCCATGTTGTTGTGGTCGCTCGGTCAAGCCGGATCTCTTGACGCGAGGAGCCCACCTAGTTGGCGAGTCGAGTCGAGTCGAGTCTCCAGTATGAGTCCAGCATTCAAAGGGCCAAGCTCAAAAATGCAAAGGCTTTCCCGCCATTCAAAACTTTTCTGAACGAGAAGAGAAAGACAAGCAGCTCGAGCTTTGAGCTCACTCCTTCAATGACAACGAAGCCAGCTGTTGTCGTGGTCTACCTGAGAACTCAGGCCGAGACCCCCCCCCCCCCCCCCCA